CAATGACTTTTTTTTTTTTTTTTTTTTTTTTGAGACAGAGTCTTGCTCCGTTGCCAGGCTGGAGTGTGGTGGCACAGTCTTGGCTCACTGCAACCTCCGCCTCCTGGGTTCAAGAGATTCTCCTATCTCAGCCTCTTGAGTAGCTGGGAATATAGGCACGTGCCACCATACCCAGCTAAATTTTGTATTTTTAATGGAGACGGGGTTTCACCATGTTGGCCAGGATGGTCTCAGTCTCTTGACCTCGTGATCTGTCCACCTCGGCCTCTCAAAGTGTTGGGATTATAGGCATGAGCCACTGCACCTGGCCAGGACAGTGACTCTCTGTTGTCTATGAAGTATGGATGAATTTACAAATTCCTAAGTTCTCTGAAGGTCTATATTTGGGGACAAAAATTATAGAACTGTGTCCTTTAGATAATAAGATTTAATCTGTAATTCTGGAGAAAATGTTCAAAAAATTTTCATGTGAAGAGCAATGCTGAAAAACAGGTGAATATTAAGCTTTCTTAAAGCACTTTAGGAGGCCAAGGCAGGCGGATCACTTGAGGCCAGGCATTTAAGACCAGCCCGGCCAACATGGCGAAACTCCATGTTGAAACTCAGCCTAGGCTGAGTCTTAAACTTCTGGCCTCAAGTGATCCTCCCACCTTAGCCTACCAGAGTGCTGGGATTATAGGCAGGAGCCACCTCTCCTGTCCAAAAGCTGTTTTTGAAGAGAGATTATAAAATAGTTCTTTATTATAGGGCCCCGTTTCTCCAAACTTCACCATTATCTAAGAGTTGGTTAGAAATGCAGAGTATCAGTTTCCTCCTCAGACCTACTAATTTAGAATCTCCATTTAAACAAGATTCCCAAGTGATTTCATATGCACAATAAAGTTTGAGAAACACCTCACCAGTAAGTAAAAATACAAAAATTAGGCCGGGCTCAGTGGCTCAAGCCTATAATCCCAGCACTTTGGGAGGCCGAGGCGGGTGGATCACCTGGTAAACATGGTGAAACCCCGTCTCTACTAAAAATACAAAAGATGAGCTGGGCATGGTGGCGCGTGCCTGTGATCCTAGCTGCTCGGGAGGCTGAGGCAGGAGAATTGCCTGAACCCAGGAGGCGGAGGTTGCGGTGAGCCAGGATCGCGCCATTGCACTCTAGCCTGGGTAACAAGAGCGAAACTCCATCTCAAAAAAAAAATACAAAAATTAGCCAGGCATAGTGGCACATGCCTGTAATCCCAGCTACCTGAGAGACTGAGGCATGAGAATCATGTGAATCTGGGAGGCGGAGGTTGCAGTGAGCCAAGATCATGCCACTGCACTCCAGTCTGGGTGACAGAATGAGACTCTGTGTCACAAAAAAAAAAAAAAAAAAAAGATTGAATTGGCTGGATGCAGTGGCTCATGCCTGTAATTGTGACACTTTGGGAGACTGATGCAGGAGGATTGCTTGACCCCAGGAACTTGAGACCAGACTGGGCAGCATAGTGAAACTCCATGTCCACTTATTACTTGCTGTCAACATTAGTACAACAAATTAGCTTTTATCAGGAAGCTTTAAGAATAAGATGACAGTGATTATATTATTATAATGTTTTTTGAAGTCAAAGCTCTTCCAGAGCGTGTAACTTTAGTTGCCATGTCTTTCCCAGGTACATAAATTGAAGGTTTTCTAGTACAAGAGGAAAAAACGGGCAAGGATTTCTGGAGTTGAGTTGTATTTAAATTTAGGGCTTATAGGTTTAAATATCATCATATAAAACTGGCTCTTGACAGCCCACTGTGAGAGCAGGTCTGGCTGGCCCATGGGGTAGGCAGGTTGACAGAAGCGGGAAGCACCAAAAAGAAAACCAAAACAACTGGTTCTTCATAAAGTACACCGAAAAGTGCATTCCATTTTATGAAAATGGGATTGTATTTGTTAGAAAGGACCACTGAGTCATTTAATTCTTCATTAACTTTTAGGGTAGACCATGTTTCAGTGAAAGTTCTCCAGTTTTCACATACCTTTGTATAAACAGTTTAATTAAAAAAAAAATGACTGGGCGCAATGGCTCATGCCTATAATCCCAGTGCTTTGGGAGGCCGAGGCAGGCGGATCACCTGAGGTCAGGCGTTCGAGACCAGCCTGACAATGTAGAGAAACCCCATCTCTACTAAAAATACAAAATTAGCCAAGCGTGGTGTCACATGCCTGTAATCCCAGCTACTCAGAAGGTGGAGGCAGGAGAATCACTTGAACCCAGGAGGTATAGGTTGCAGAAAATACCTAAACTTAGAATTTGCTCTTACATCTCTTTTGTTTTTGTTGCATTATAAACATTTCTGACCATGATACCGAGTCTAAGGAGTTGTACTTCTTGATAACTAGGTAAGTCTTATCCCCTTGCTGAGAATAATTAAGAAAAAAAAATGACAAAATATATAAAATATCTATTTAAAGACATCAAGAGCTACAAATAGCAAATGGAAAAATTAGGATTCTAAGATCTGAGAGAAGAATTGGAGCTGTTTTTCCCTATTGAATATGTGTTCAATTGCAGAAAAGGCTGCAGAGAAGCTAAATGGAGCTTTCGGTAGACACTGAGGGCCCACAAAGAGGAGTACTGATTAAAAAAAAAAAAAACCCTCCCAATCTGTGGATTGAAATACTAACATCATCCAGAGCCTCACAGTTTTTTGTAATTTTTTAAATAAAAATAGTAAAAAGTGGCCAGATGTGGTGGCTCATGCCTATAATATTAGCACTTTGGGAGACTGAGGCAGGATGATTGCTTGAGTCCAGGAGTTCAAGATCAGCCTGGGCAACATAATGAGACCTTTTCTTTTCAAAAAATAAAAATATTAGCCGGGTGTGATGGCATGTGCCTGTTGTCTCAGCTACTCAAGAAGGTGAGATGGAAGGATTTCTTGAGCCCAGGAGTTCAAGGCTGCAGTAAGCTGTAATCATACCACCGTCCTGCAGCCTGGGCAACAGAGTGAGAAGCTGATACTACAAGCAAGCGCCACCACATCCAGCTAATTTTGTTTATTCTTTGTAGAGACAGGGTTTTGCCTTGTTGCCTAGGCTGGTTTCAAACTCCTGGGCTTCCAGCCTCCCCGAATGCTGGAATTACAGGGAATGAGCCACTGTACCCTACCTAGGCTGAGTCTTAAACTTCTGGCCTCAAGTGATCCTCCCACCTTAGTCTCTCAAAGTGCTGGGATTATAGGCATGAACCACCTTACCTGTCCAAAAGCTGTTTTTGGAGAGAGATTACAAAATAATAATTTTTTATTATAGGGCCCTGTTTCTCAAAACTTCACCATTATCTGAGAGTTGGTTAGAAATGCAGAGTATCAGTTCCCTCCTCAGACCTATTAATTTAGAATCTCCATTTAAACAAGATTCCCAAGTGATTTCATATGTATAATAAAGTTTGAGAAACACTTCACCTATAAGTAATAACTGTATTGTTTTGAAACTAACAGTAATTTATAATACTGTAGCTGCTATGTAAGGTTGGGAAAGCTGAGTCTTTCCTGAGTAATCCACAACCTATATTAATGCCTGATAAATAATATCTTAGAAGACTGGGAAATAATAGATTTATATTAAACTATTATGTCTAAAGTATTTTGAAAGTAAGTGTACTAATGTCTACAATTCACTTGAAATACATAGAAAGAGATGGATGGATTGTTTAGTGGTATGAATAGATAGAAAGATCTGATTAGGCCAGAAGTGGTGACTCATGCCAGTAATCCCAGCACTTTGGAGGCTGAGGCAATGGATCACTTGAGGCCAAGAGTTTGTGTCTAGCCTGGCCAACATGGTAAAATACCCTGTCTACTAAAAACAAAAAAAATTGAGCTGGGCATGGTGGCACGCACCTGTAATCCCAGCTACTTGGGAGGCTGAGGCAGGAGAAATGCTTGAATCTGGAAAGCAGAGGTTGCAGTGAACCAAGATGATGCTACTGCACTCTAGCCTGGGCAACAAAATGAGACTCCATCTCAAAAAATAAACAAAAAAGATGTGATTAGACAAAAACAGTAAAATAGCGTTGAATCTACTTGGTTGAGTATATCAGTGTTAAGTGTAAAATTCTTTCAACTTCTCTTGAAATTTTTCCTAATTTTAGGGGCAATCGGGGAACTATTAAAAAACTAGATATTAGTAAGCTACCAGAGTATCACATTCCTCAAGGGTTCCAGAGAGCCAAACTGTTACTATAATTGTCTACATATTTATATATCCTTTGCTTTATTTTATAAATGTTTATGGTTTTTTTCTTGTTGTTAGGGGTTTTGTTTTGTTTTTTGAGATAGAGTCTCAACTTGTCACCCAGGCTGGAGTGCAGTGGCATGATCTTGGCTCACTGCAACCTCCACCTCCCAAGTTCAAGGGATTCTCATGCCTCAGCCTCCCCTGAGTAGCTGGAATCACAGATGCAAACCACTACGCCCAGCTAATTTTTGTATTTTTAGTAGAGATGGGGTTTTGCCATGTTGGCCAGGCTGGCCTCAAGTGATCTGCCTGCCTCAGCCTCCCAAATTGGATTACAAGCATGAGCTACCACGTCTGGCCTTATAGGTGTGTTAATACTTTCCCCTTAAGGAAGAAAAAGTGGCTAATATTTTTTGAGTGTGCCTTTGTGCCGGGCATTTATCTCATGTATTCTTCATAACACTCTGATGAGTTAGGTATCATCAGTTCATATATTTGTATAATTTATTAAGCTTAGGCGATATTTGAACCTGGGGTCTGATTTAAGAGCTGATGGCTACCACATTGTACAGTTCCAGACACCAACATTAACTTAATTATTATTGTTGGCGCAGTGAAGTAGCATTCAGTTGAGATACATAGTTCCCCTGGGATTATGCATGAAGAGTGGCCTTAACCACATGCTTATACACCTACCTCATTTGTCTCTTAAACTCTTAAATGAAAATGTAAATTATTTTTCTGATGTACATTTTTATTTGTTCCATGATTTTCTCTTGTGTGTTTTATTTTTAAGATTCTTGGATCTCCCAGTCTGCTTCATTTCCCCGTAATCAGAAACAGCCAGGAGTGGATTCTTTATCACCAGTGGCCTTACTTCGTAAGCAGAATTTCCAGCCTACAGCCCAACAGCAACTTACTAAACCAGCTAAAATCACTTGTGCAAATTGCAAAAAGCCTTTACAGAAGGGCCAGACAGCTTATCAACGAAAAGGATCAGCTCACCTCTTTTGTTCTACCACGTGCCTGTCTTACTTCTTTCATAAACGTACTCAAAACACACAAAGTGTAATACGTAAAAAGTAAGCAGTACCTTTCACCATTTCTCCACATAGTTGAATACTAGTGGTATAAATAAGTACACTTAATGTAATTGCAGAGCTGGATAGATTTATCAGTAGAATCGTTGCAGAAGTGTCTTTAATTAACTTTATTGAGCTTGAGCTCCTAGAATATGTCTAAGCTTGTGCTATATGTATTCTTGGCAGAAAAATGGAACATAGGTATGGAAGTTAGTTGCCCTCTCCCTGCCACTACATTTGCCTCCCCTTCTTCGTCATCTTACACTTTAGTTCTATAAATTTATTACCAGCATTTTTATTTGTTTTTTTTGAGACTGAGTCTCACTCCGTTGCTCAGGCTAGAGTGCAGTGGCGCCATCTCCGCTCACTACAACCTCTGCCTCCCAGGTTCAAGTGATTCTCCTGCCTCAGCCTCCTGAGTAGCTGGGATTGCAGGCTCCTGCCACCATACCCAGCTAATTTTTTGGATTTTTAGTAGAGATGGAGTTTCATCATGTTGGCCAGGCTGCTCTTGAACTCCTGACCTCAAGTGATGTGCCCACCTTGGCCTCCCAAAGTGCTGGGATTACAGGTGTGAGCCACTGTGCATTTTTGAATGCATCTAAAAATCTCAAGAACTTGTGGTAAGGTTCTTGTGCTATGAAAGATTTTTATCTCTGATTCTTCTCTTTCCATATCATTTAAGAACTCTTGGCAATAAAGCCAAAAGTAGATTTGCTGCATCCAAAAATTATAGTTGATTTCTAGTATTAAATCATAAGAAAATGAAAAATGGCAATTATTCATATATTTGACTTGTATTAAAATGCAATGTTCTTAAATTATGTGTCTATCTCTTCTGTTTCAGAGATGCATCTACAAAGAAGGCTAATGTTCTTCCAGTAGAATCAAGCAAATCCTTCCAAGAATTTTGTAATATATCTTGTTTGTCTCCCTGTGAAAACAACCGGAATCTTAAAAAAGGAGTTTTTAATAAGTCAAGATGCACAATTTGTAGTAAATTAACAGAGGTCTGTATTTTTATACCTAAGTTGTTGTTTAGGCTAACAGTGCTAACTTTAACTTTTAAGTGCTATTATGTACTCTTTGGTCTACATAATGCACATGCTCTGGATGTATAACATGAAGCTAAAAGGAAGAATAAGGATATGTTAGAACTATCTTATGGGATATTTTTATAAATAAAATCCCATTTGCATAGCATGGAAAGTACACATCTGTTTCTGTGGGATTGGCTGTGTTCATAAACAAAACAATTGTTTTATGGTGGATTTTGTTCTTACTGGTGACATTCAATAAAAATATATCTTGGCCAGGTGCGGTGGCTCATGCCTGTAATCCCAGCACTTTGGAATTACAAAGGAGGTGGGTGGATCACGAGGTCAGGAGTTCAAGAGCAGCCTGGCCAAGATAATGAAACCCCATCTCTACTAAAATACAAAAATTAGCTGGGCCTGGTGGTGGGCGCTTGTAATCCCAGCCACTCAGGCAGCTGAGACAGAGAACGGCTTGAACCCAAGAGGTGGAGGCTACAGTGAGCTGAGATCACGCAACTGCACTCCAGCCTGGGTGACAGAGCAAGACTCCATCTCAAAATAAATAAATAAAAATGTAGTCTAAGAGTTGGGGGTCAAGGGCTAGAAAACTACCTCTTGGGGCCAGGGATGGTAGCTCATGTCTGTAATCCCAGCACTTTGGGAGGCCGAGGCAGGTGGATATCTTGAAGTCAGGAGTTTGAGACCAACCTGGCCAACATGGCGAAACGCCATCTCTACTAAAAATAGAAAAATTAGCCAGGCGTGGTGGTGCACACCTGTAATCCAGCTACTTGGGAGGTTAAGGCAGGAGAGTCACTTGAACCCGGGAGGCAGAGGCTGCAGTAAGCCAAGATTGTGCCACTACGCTCTAGCCTGGATGACAGAGTGAGACTCCATCTCAAAAAAATTTTTAAAAACCTAAAACTACCTCTTGGGTACTATGCTTACTACCTGGGTGACAGGATCATTCTTACCTTAGACCTCACAGCATATCCTTGTAATAAACCTGTACATGTATCCCTTGAATCTAAAATAAAAGTTAAAATTATTTTTTAAAAATAGATGATTAAAAAAATGTAGTTGCAGGATGTGAAGAAAACAACAGATCCTGGTACAAGAACACATGAAACAAGCAGAGCAAATGTATACCTACTCCTTGCTTAACATTAAGTAATACTGCAATTTTCCCAGTTCCTAGAAGAAACATGCATGTAGGCAGTCTTTACTTTATAAAGTCTTTGGTAACTAAATTTAGTGTTGGTTACCCCTGAGCCGTGCATATAAAGGACATTATTTTATCTCCGTTACCACATTGAGAACTACTCTGCTTCTGGTTATACCAAAACCATTCTGAATACAGGTAATATTGATTCCCTTAGCTCCCTCCACAAACGTTCTAGGGCAGTGAACTTTACTTATAATACTATCTAAAAATTGTTGATTGCTGGAGATAAGTGACTCACACATATAATCCCAACTGTTGAGGAGGCTGGGACAGGATGGTCACTGGACCCCAGGAGTTTGAGGATGGAGTGAGCTATGATTGTACCACTGCTTTCTAGCCAGGGTGACAGAGCAAAGGACTCCGTATCAAAAAAAAAAAAATTATTTCTTTTAAGCAAGTCATATCAAAATCTTCTAAACCAAAGCCAGGTGTGGTGCTGCAATCTGTAATCTGAGCTACTCAAGAGGCGTGAATAGAGTGCTTGCTTAAGCCCAGGAATTCGAGATCAGTCAGGGGAACATAGCAAGAAATTGTCTCAAACCAAAAAAAAAAAAAAAAGTTCATTTTGTGTTGTTATTAAATGTCTTTAGAGAAGTTATTACTGATTTTATTGCTTTATTGCTTTCCTATAAATCTTATTTTTCTCTTGTAAAATCAAAGTGACCTTACAAATAAAGGAAAAAAGTCTTTCACAGCCAGGCATGATGGCTCATGCCTGTAATCCTAGCATTTTGGGAGGCCGAGGCAGGCAGATCACTTGAGGTCAGGAATTCGAGACCAGCCTGGCCAACATGGTAAAACCCCATCTCTACTAAAAATACAAAACTTAGTTGGGCGTGGTGGCAAGCACCTGTAATTGCAGCTACTCAGGAGGCTGAGGCAGGAGAATCGCTTGAACCTGGGAGGCAGAGGTTGCAGTGAGCCAAGATTGTGCCATTACACTCCAGCCTGGGCAACAGAGTAAGACTCTGTCTCTGGGAAAATAAAAATATATATATTTTAGAAAATTATATATATATATATTTTCCCCCCCCCAGGAATATCTTCCCCTGAGAGATGACTAGAGATTCTTTGCTTCTGTTACAGAAACTAGTTATCTCATTGTTTGTTGTACTAATGTGGTTCATATATCTTAATGAATTCTGTTTTTTTTTTTAGATTCTCCATGAAGTCAGTGTAAATAATGTAACACATAAACTGTGCAGTAACCATTGCTTTAATAAGTACAGATTGGCCAATGGTCTAATAATGAACTGCTGTGAACACTGTGGAGACTACATGCCTAGTAAGAGTACTGGAAGCAACATCCTGGTGATTGGAGGTCAGCAGAAGAGATTTTGCTGCCAAAGTTGCATTAACGAATATAAACAGGTAATTCTTTCTAATGAGCTTTAAATGATCAAGTTACATAGTAGCTTCACCCTTATAGCGTACATGAACCCTTACAATCTCATTTAGGTCCATTTTGTCATTCTGTCATTGGTTTGTCCCATCTCAAATATTCAAGTCTATTGATTGTTGTAAGCTTGTTTTAAAAGTTTACTCTGGGCTGGGTACAGTGCCTCACTCATGTAATCCCAGCATTTTGGGAGGCTGAGGCAGGAGAATCACTTGAACCCAAGAGGCAGAGGTTGCAGTGAGCCAAGATGGCACCACTATACTCCAGCCTGGGTGACAGAATGAGACTGTGTCTCAAATATATATATATATTAGCCAGGCATGGTGGTGCATACCAGTAGTCCCAGGTACTTGGAAGGCTGACGTTGGTGGATCACTTGAGCACAGGAGGCAGAAGTTGCAGTGAGCCAAGATCATGTCACTGCACTTCAACCTGAGCAACAGAGTAAGACCCTGTCTCTAATAATAATAATAATAATAATTTAAAAGTTGGCAAATATAGGCATGATATTTCTGTATAATCAGAATGTTTTACATTTTATAAATGTGCTTCCCCACTCCACTCCAAACACATGAGTATTTTCTCTTTGTTTGTTTTCGAGATGGAGTTCCATTCTTGTTGCCCAGATTGAAGTGCAATGGCACAGTCTCAGCTCACTGAAACCTCCACCTCCCAGGTTCAAGCGATTCTCCTGCCTCAGCCTCCAGAGTAGCTGGGATTACAAGCATGCACAACCATGCCTGGCTAATTTTGTATTTTTAGTAGAGATGGGGTTTCTCATGTTAGTCAGAGTAGTCTTGAACTCCTGACCTCAGATGATTCACCTGCCTTGGCCTCCCATCATGCCAGTATTACAGGCGTGAGCCACCACACACAGCCCACATGAGTATTTTCAAGTAATTAGTGGCGGGCCTTCTGAAGAGGCCAACAGAGAAGACTTCATATGTGAACACCACAAGAAAAAACTGAAATCTTTAATTAGTAGCTTATTGCTGAATAACATACAGTTATAAAATGACTGTGTCTAAATAATAATAAAGCCAGTGTTTCTCAACCAGGGATGATTTTTGTCTCCATGAGGACATTTAGCAATGTCTAGAAACATTTTATTTTTTTAATTTGCCAGATAAAAGAATTCAGAAGGATAGAAACATTTTTGACTGTCATACCTCAGGGGTGCTGCTGGCATCTAGTGGATAGAGTCCAGAGGTGCTGCTAAACATCTGCAGTTCACAGCACAGTCCTTTACAACAAATAATAATCTTGCCCAAGAAATCCTGTAACCAAAGATAAGTGGCTGGGTGATGAGTATATATAGTGAGCATGGTAAAAGAAAGGAAAGCAAAATTTTTATCTTCCTCATTGAGAAGTCAATTGATGATACCTAAAGTGGGGAAGGAAAAAAGTAAATAGTGATACGAACATGTTACTTTGAGATTTGGAAATATATAACCAAAGAATCAGCTAGAAAAGTTGTAAGTGCTAGGCATGGTGGTGGTGTGCACCTGTAATTCTAGCTACTAGAAAGGCTGATGCAAGAGGTTCATTTGAGCCCAGGCATTTGAGTCTGTAGTACATGAGGATCACACCTGTGAATGGCCACTGTACTTCTCCCTGGGCAACAAAGCAAGGGCCTTGTCTCAAAAAAATTTTTTGCCTGGCATGATGGCTTATGTCTATAATCCCAGCACTTTGGGAGGCTGAGGAAAGAGGATTGCTTTAGCCCAGGAGTTCAAGACCAACTTCAGCAACATGGTGAGACTGCTGTCTCTACAAAAAACTTAAAAATTAGCTGGCATGTCATGCCCCTGTTGTCCCAACTACTCGAGAGGCTGAGCCTGGAGGATCACTTGAGCCTCCAAGGTCACAACTGCAAATGAGTGAGCCATGATCTCATCACTGCACTCCAGCCTGAATGACAGAGTGAGACTGTCTCAAAACTATATGTATATATATATATATATATATATATATGGTTTTTTTTTTGCTTATAGCTATTACTGGATAGTGAATTTTAAAAAATAAATTAATAAAATATATATATATTTAAATGGTATATGTTAAAAAATTTTTTTAAATTTTATTTTAAAAGGTTATAGGTGGTTAGCTTCTGGTAAAAGGGAAATAGGTAGAGGTAGTAGGGGACTCTTATTTGTTTTAATTAACCTGGTATGACTAGTTGGTGTTTTATACTAAATGTATCTGTTTTTATGTTTTGTTTGAGATAGGATCTCTCCCTCTGTCACCCAGACTGGAGTGCAGTGGTGTGAGCTCTGCCTACTGCAACCTCCAGCTCAAGTGATCCTCCAGGCTTAAGTGATCCTCCCACCTCAGCCTCCTGAGTAGCTGGGCCTACAGGTATGCGCCACCACCTTGGCTAATTTTTGTATTTTAGCTGGGTGTGGTGGTGTATGCCTGCGGGGGTTTCATGGGGTTTTGTCATATTGCCCAGGTTGGTTGAACTCTCGGGCTCAAACTATCTGGGTTGAAGTCTTGGCCTCCCAAAGTGCTAGGATTACAGGCATGAGCCACTTTACCTGGCTGGTATATGTAATTTTAAAATGTCAAAGATATTGAAGTTCAGTGAGCATTTAGCCTAGTCACACAGCTAGATTTGACCTATATCGTTTGTGTACTCTGTTGCCTCCAATAGAAACATTCATTAGTGTACCCTATTGCCTCCAATAGAAATATTTGCTTATACATGTGCATTATCCCCCACAAGAAACCGTAAGTAGGTTTATGTCTGCTTTAGTTTAATAATCTCCAGCAGGATGTGATAGCTCACGCCTGTAATCCGAGCACTTTGGGAGGCTGAGGAGAGTGAATCACCTAAGGCCATGAGTTTGAGACCAGCCTGACCAACATGGTGAAACCCCATCTCTACTAAAAATACAAAAATTAGCCGGGTGTGGTGGCAGGCACCTGTAATCCCAGCTACTCCAGAGGCTGAGGCAGGAGAATCACTTGAACCCAGGAGACAGGGGTTGTTGCAATGAGCCAACATCACACCATTGTACTCCAGCCTGGGCAATAGAGCAAGACTCCATCTCAAAAAAAAGGTAATAATAGCTTAAAACAATAGCTAAGAAAGTTAAGAGTCAGAAGCTTTGTTCCCTGTAGAATCTAAAGTTAATATATGTCCTGAGTTTTAATTTTTTTTTTTTTTTTTTTTTTTTGACTGAGTCTCACTCTGTTACCAGGCTGGAGTGCAGTGGTGCAATCTCGGCTCACTGCAACCTCTGCCTCCCAGGTTCAAGTGGTTCTCCTGCCTCAGCCTCCAAAGTAGCTGGGATTACTGACACCTACCACCATGCCCAGCTAATTTTTTTTATATTTTTTGTAGAGACGGGGTTTCACCATCTTGGCCAGGCTGGTCTTGAACTCCTGACCTCATGATCTGCCCGCCTTGGCCTCCCAAAGTGCTGGGATTACAGGTGTGAGCCATTGTGCCTGGCCTGTATGGACATATGTTTTTATTTCTTTTGGGTATATACTTTGGAGTGGAATTGCTGGATCATATGATAACTCTGTTTAAACTTCGACAAACTGCCAGATAGTTTTCAAAAGTGGCTACACCGCTTTACATTTCCCACCAGCGTCTTTTGGAGGTTTCAGTTTCTCCACATCTTTGCCAACACTTTCATTCTCTCTTTTTTTTTTTTTTTTTTGAGGATGGAGTTTTGCTCTGTTGCCCAGGCTGATGTTTAGTGGCACGATCTCAGCTCACTCAACCTCTGCCTCCAGGGTTCAGTCAAGATCTCTTGTGCCTCAGCCTGCAGAGTAGCTGGGATTACCAGTACCTGCCATCACACCCAGTAAATTTTGTATTTTTAGTAGAGATAGAGTTTCTCCATATTGGCCAGGCTAGTTTCAAACCCCTGACCTCAAGTGATTCACCCGCCTCAGCCTCCCAAAGTGCTGAGATTATAGGCTTAAGCCTCCATGCCTAGCCTCATTCTCTGTTTATTATAGCCATCCTCTTGGATGTGAAGTGATATGTCATCACCTTTTTTGGGGGAGGGGACAGGGTCTCACTCTGTCACCCAGACTGGAGTGCAATGGTGCAATCTCGGTTCAGCGCAACCTCTGCCTCGAGGGTTCAAGCGATTCTTCTGCCTCAGCCTCCTGAGTAGCTGGAATTAGAGGCGCACGCCACTATGGCCCAGCTAATTTTTGTATTTTTAGTAGAGATGGGGTTTCACCATGTTAATCAGACTAGTCTCCAACTCCTGACCTCAAGTGATCCACCCGCCTTGGCCTGCCAAAGTGCTGGGATTACAGGCATGAGCCACCACGCCCGGCTGTTGCCTTTTGATTCGCATTTCTTTGACGCCTAATGATGAACTTCTTTTCATGTGCTTATTGAGCATTTGTATATAAATTTTTTTTTTTTTTTTTTTTTTTGAGACGGAGTTTCACGCTTGTTACCCAGGCTGGAGTGCAATGGCGCAATCTTGGCTCACCGCAACCTCCGCCTCCTGGGTTCAGGCAATTCTCCTGCCTCAGCCTCCTGAGCAGCTGGGATTACAGGCACGCGCCACCATGCCCAGCTAATTTTTTGTATTTTTAGTCGAGACGGGGTTTAACCATGTTGACCAGGATGGTCTCGATCTCTTGACCTCGTGATCCACCCGTCTCCGCCTCCCAAAGTGCTGGGATTACAGGCTTGAGCCACCGCGCCCGGCCTGTATATAAATTTTTAAAAGTTTAACAATCTTAAAATTGTAATCCATCCTGTTTGTCCTCAGATGATGGAAACAAAATCAAAAAAATCATCAGCATCAGAAAATAGAAAAAGGAATGCTATTAGAGAGGAAAATGAAAAACAATTCTGTGGATCATTGAGTATACTTTCGGAAAACATAGAGGGAATCCCAGAAAAAAAGGAAAAGACATCAGAGCTACAGGTTTCAGTAGAATGTGGCACAGATACATTACTGATCACAGAGAATGTGAATTTACCTCCTTCTTCCATGTCAACCATAGCTGATATATTTCAAGAGCAACTGGAAGAGAAAATTTCTGAAGACTCCATTGTACCAGTTGTGCTTTCCGCAGATCCAGGTACATGGCCCCGAATTTTGAATATTAAACAACGGGACACTCTTGTTGATAATGTTCCACCTCAAGTAAGAAATTTTAACTTTCCAAAAGATAATACAGGGAGGAAGTTTTCAGAAACGTATTATACACGGATTCTTCCAAATGGTGAAAAAACCAATAGATCCTGGTTACTTTATTCGACCTCAAAAGACTCTGTGTTTTGTCTATATTGCAAACTCTTTGGGGAAGGAAAAAATCAACTGAAAAATGAGAATGGGTGCAAAGATTGGCAACATTTATCACATATTCTTAGTAAACATGAAGAAAGTGAAATGCACATCAACAATAGTGTTAAGTACTCAAAATTAAAATCTGATCTAAAAAAAAATAAAACTGTTGATGCTGTAGAACATAGATTATATGAAAATGAGAAAAATGATGGTGTGCTGTTGTTGTACACATAATATACCTGATTTGTTTTTTGACATGACGGTCAGAATCTTACATTACTCAGAAAACATTTGTCCTGCAATAGTCAGTACTATGGTATTGTAAGTCTCCTCTACAGAGTCACTTGCAGCAGATCCTTAGCAATAAGCATGTTAGCAAATAAATAGCAAAGAATGTTTCCATTCCAAATCTAAAACTAATTAGATTCCGTTGTCACTAGGCAATGACTTCATTAGGCAGTGAAGATTAACAGTAAGTAATTGTTGCTGGGCGAGGTGGCTCATGCCTGTAATCCCAGCACTTTGGAAGGCTGAGGCGGGCGGATCACCTGAGGTCAGGAGTTCAAGACCAGCCTGGCCAACATAGTGAAACTCCATCTCTACTAAAAATACAAAAAATTAGCCAGGAGTGGTGGCACACACCTGTAATCCCAGCTACTCAGGAGGCTGAGACAGGGGAATTGCTTGACCTCAGGAGGTGGATGTTGCAGTGAGCTAAGATCACACCACTGCACTCCAGCCTGGGTAACGAGAGCAAAACTCTGTCTCAAAAAAATAAATAAAAATAAATAATCTTCACAATCTATCAATTTACAACTTTTTAAAAGTTGGCATTTAAGGACTGCCATTTGACAGGTTTGGTTAATATTTTGTTCTTGGCCAGGCTTGATGTCTCAACGCCTGTAATCCCAGCACTTTGGGAGGCCCAGGCAGGCAGATCCCTTGAGGTCCTGACCAACATGGCAAAACCTCATCTCTACTAAAAATACAAAAATGAGCCA